CAAGAAAGAAGCCAACAGCAAAAACAACCCAACCAAAGAATCTCTAAGACTCACCCAGATTGGGCAAATCCCCAGAATATAAACTGACAAGCAAACCCCACTTGCCTACCAGCCCTGATGACATTACCTAGTGTGGATTGTGAGACGTTTGCAAGAAAACAAGCTCAGGGAAGCACCAAGGACTCCCTCATTGGGCAAGTCCCCAGAATATAAACTGACAAGCAAACCCCACTTGCCTAGCAGCCCTGATGACGTTACCTAGTGTGGGTTGTGAGACGTTTGCAAGAAAACAAGCAAGCTCAGAGAAGCACCAAGGACCCCCCCCTCCCTCCAACTCTCATGTCAACCCCGAGAGCTCTGCAAATATTTCTCCTTTCTAGGAAGTTTAGTCAATCTCCCATTTATACAAAGCAGCGTCGGGATTAAAGCCCCGAGAGTCCATCCATTCGAACCTCGGACCTGCGATAATTCGGAGCGGCGCTACAAAACGTGGGAAGGGAGGGGGGGAGAGGAGGAGAGTAACGCGCGCATCGGTTTGCTGCGATACACGTGTCGTCCGGATTTTTTATATCTACATAAATATACATATTTAATAATAATAAGACCATCCGCAGGGCAAATATAAATATCACTCCACCCACGCGCCCCAGTTGGATGGGCTGGGGGCTTATTATCCCATCCCCAGTTAGGGCCAAATTGTATTGGGGTCTTTCCCCCCCTATTCCCCCCCCCGTGGCTGAGAGTTTGCATTTCCGCGCCCGAGGGGGGAAGAAAATAAATAAATAAATATAAATACATAAAAAGCAAGGAGGGGGAGGGAGGAAACGAACCAAGATGGCTCCCCGCGCAATTGCAAAGCGTTCCCAGCTTCAGACAATGGGTGCTCTCCCTTCTAGCCTTTTGCATAAGTCTACGGTTGAGAGAGAGAGAGAGAGGAGAGAGAGAGACGCGTGTTTCCTCCCCGCCCGGAGATGCGCGTTGTCAACCAGCCCCGGGCTCCTTGCGCGCCTGGGCAACGCGCCGCCGCCTTCGCCTTCCGACCCTCGGCCCTCCGGCTTTTCTTTCCCAAGCAAACTCACCGCTTCTCCTTTTTCGCCCTGCCGCCTCCTTTCTTCCCTTTCTTTGCAAGCGGGCGACACGCAAGAGGGCGCGTTCACACGATCGCGGATTAAAAAATAATGCAACCCAGGAAGAAGACCCTTCCGTTCAAAAAGGATACGATCTCCCGCCCCCCCCGGGTCCGGATTTTTTGGTTTATCCCGAAAGGCCAAAAGCCGATCCAAACCCGCGATCTCCTCTCTTCTCTCCGTCTAAAAGCCTTCCCCCCCCCGCGAAGATGGTGACATGGTTTGCTCCGCTCGGAGGAGGGGAGGGGCGAAGATGGTGACATAGCTTGTTCCACTTCGAGAAAAGAGGGGGGGGACTTTTTTTAAAAAAAAAATTCTGGCTGGCCCTGCGGTAGCCCAGACACGCTGCGGGGAGATTTTAAAGAGCTTAAACAGCCGTCCTGGCTTTCTAAGGGGTGAAAGAGTAAGTTGCAAGGGCTTGGGATAAAAGCGGCGACACACACCCCGGCGGGTCTGAAGTGGTTCCGCCCGCTCTACCCACCGCTTTCGCTAAGCCTTTCGATCCGCCTCCGAATCAAGGATCGACGAATTGAGCGCGCGCTGAGTCCGGGCTTCTTCGGACCCGAAAGGCGCCCTCTTTTTTTTTGCAATTTAAATCTCTGGGATTACATAAATTCATGACGTTTCATTTCTCAGATACCCGGGAGGGCGGGTCTGGAAAACCGCTCTTACTTCGGATTAAACGGTGGAAAGGAAACTCGTTTGCAATCAATTCGTTTTCAACTAAAGATAGTACCGCGGTCAGCGCTGTTTTGTTTGTTTTAAGAGTGAATCGAGCACTAAAACGGTCACCCTGTACTATCTAGGTAAATAAACCCAGGGAGTTGAGAATGCTAAAGCAATGGAGACAAATGAAACTCAAAAATAGAGGGTGGTTGGACTCCGATCCTATCAGCCACTGCCAAGGTGGGTAGCAGCCAGGATCGATGGGAGAGGGTCATATTCCGAGATCTTGCTCGAAATAACGCCTGGGCACCGACACAGCCGGTTTGCACCTTTTTCTGTAGATAGAAATCTAGTCATAGGAGAGCCGGAAGTGAGGGTCTACATTGAACCGCTATTTTTTTTTAAAATCTCTATGACGGGAGTGGGACAACTACGGCTGGCTCAGGAATTCTGGGAGTTGAAGTCCATAGGTGGTAAAGAGGCCATAATTGCCTACCTACCTACCTCTACTCCAGTGGTTCCCAAACTTGGCAACTTTAAGACTTGTGGACTTCAACTCCCAGAATTCTCCAGCTAGCTCTTCTACTCTATGGAAAGCATTTGTGAGCATTGATGAGTGGCTTCAATGCAAATAGGCAGGAACCGGACAACCACGCATCAGCTCGATCATGCAAAAACCACACCAAATAGTTGAGACCAACTGAAGTTTTGGTGCCCTCATGGCCACGTCTGCACTGTTTCCAGGGGGCATTAGGGAAAAGCGGGCTTCTCACCTGGTACACAGTTTTCAACATCTCTAGGCCAACGTTCCCCAACCTTTATGTTGTGCGGACTTCAATCTCCAGAATTCTCCAGCTAGTTTCTGAGAGTTGGGAATTCTGGGAGTTGAAGTCCACACCGTTTGAACTTGCTAAGGTTGATGGAGAAACACTGTTACAGTTGACGGCTTGAATATTTTTCTTAATGGTCTCCTGTCCAAGTAACCCAACTGTGCTTAAGCTTCTCAAGATCAGTCAAGAAACATGTTTTCTTTAAAAATAAATAAATAACTGAAATGGTATTGCCATTGCCTTTCTCCTGGATTTTTCACATCCTGTTACATGGGACATAACAGCTGGAGGGGATCTTGGAGATCCTCTTTAGAGAGAGAGAAAAATAGAACTTGTCTTAATAATGAATAAAAGCACCTCTCTACACACTGTAGGAAGTTATCACCCAGCCCTTTCCCAGAAAAATGAAATATCCTAGGAAATATTGAAAAGGCAGAATATTTCTCTGGATGTGAAAAGAAAGAAACATGTTTTAAAAGACAGAATAGCTNGCGGCACCATCCCCACGGTTACGTGATTTACATTCGGATGCTTGACAACTGACTCACATGTATGACGGTTGCAGTGTCCTGGAGGGCAAGGTCATGTGTTCCCCTTTTGCGACCTTCTGACAAGCAAAGTCAATGGGGGAAGCGGGATTCACTTAATCACCGTTTTACTAATTTAACAACTGCAGTGATTCATTTAACAAATTTGGCAAGAGAAGTTGTAAAGCTCACTTTACAAATGTCTCACTTAGCAACATAAATTTTGGGCTCAACTGTGGTCATATGTCGAGGACTACCGCTATCCAGTTCAAACACAGCCTTTTCTATTCTCACTGACAATTTGATAATGGGTTATCCTTGCTTCGCTTACCAAAATCACAATGGTATATTTTATCTAAATCCAGATTAGGGTTATTCTCTATGCTGGCCTCCAGACACAGAGACAGGAGGCTAGAGTGGCCACAAAACGGGGCCCGCTCCTGCTGCATCTTTACTGCTCCCTGTTTACATCCATCCCCCTCCCACTGCCAGCATAAGCAGATGTGGAATAAAATGGTGACACTAATGGGGTGAAGGGAGATTCAAGCTCGCTCACTTACCTGTGAAAGGTGACACGGGATCCATGCCACCGGCGGTTTTTGCAGTTGGCTACCGAGCAGCAACCTGCCATGTTTGTCCTGGAATCCCTTGTGCAATCGAGCCAAATCTGACGATTTTCTGTTGCTATCCTGTGTTAAATCCAGCAGCTGGATGCTTTGAAATTACAAATGAAAAAGCTGGAAATCTCCCCCCCAAACAGCTCTTCTGGGTAGCATGTTAGTTTCTCAACAAAGCTCACCCACATCAAACTTGGGGATCAGCCCAGCACAAAAGTGTATTTAAGGCGACCAGCTGCTGCCTCTCTAGGACTTTGACAGTTCATCTCTTTGTGTCTTAGACATCGCCAACTGAACCAACAAGAGGAAGAAGAAGATTTCCCCGCAATACCTAGAAGAGATAAACAAAGGTTAACACAATTCCATCCCCACTTTCATTGTCATCCCTGATGGATAATTGCAGGTAAAGGATTCCTGATTTCTATTCCGCTTATTTTCAGGCAGGCTGAGGATTGCAGAATTAGAAGAGACCTCAAGAGTCCATTCATTGCAATCCCTTGCTCAGCCCAACGTTGGAAGTTGAAGAAATGTAAGATTATCTAGAGCAGGGGTCAGCAACCTGCGGCTCTGGAGATGCATGCAGCTCTTTCAACCCTCTGCTGTGGCTCCGTCACTAGTTGGCAGCACAATTTTGAGAGGAGCTTCCGGTTTTTTTGGGGGGGATGAGGGCATGCCAGGAGGAGACTCTATGGTAGGAAAACTGGATTTCTGGTCAGCTCCAGAATTGAACAGTGGGCTTCCGGTTAGGGCCTTGGTGGCTCTTTGAGTGTTTAAGGTTGCCGACCCCTGCACTAGAAAAGATGAAATACAGTGTTGTGGATCAGAGCTCGATTCCAATTCAGGTTCCTAGAAAGGCAATACAGATAATAAGCGAACATATGACAGTTCACTTAGTGACCATTCAATACAATACAATAGCAGAGTTGGAAGGGACCTTGGAGGTCTTCTAGTCCAACCCCCTGCCTAGGCAGGAAACCCTACACCGTTTCAGACAAATTGCTATCCAACATCTTCTTAAAAACTTCCAGTGTTGGGGAATTCACAACTTCTGGAGGCAACTTCTGTTCCACTGTTTAATTGTTCTAACTGTCAGGAAATTTCTCCTCAGTTCTAAGTTGCTTCTCTCTTTGATTAGTTACCACCCATTGCTTCTTGTAATGCTTCAAAAGTAATGCCTTGGGAAGGACACACTTGGAATACTGCATTCAGTTTTGGTCACCACGATGTAGAAAAGATGTGGAGACTCTAGAAAGAGTGCAGAGAAGAGCAACAAAGACGATTAGGGGACTGGAGACTAAAACATATGAAGAACAGTTGCAGGAACTGGGTATGTCTAGTTTAATAGAAAGAAGGACTANTCTTTTTCCCCACTTGGAGCCGAACCCAGAAGGACATTTCTTTCATCAACATCTAAGCAGCTTTAACATGTGTGGGGCTTCAGCTCCCAGAATCCCACAGCCAGCATGTTAAAAAATTCCAAGGCTGAGAAACGCTGCATTAAAGAACCAAAAGCAAGGCAAAATTGCTCTTCGTTTGAGATGGGTTTCCAAATTCATGGAGCATGTGGTTGTAGATAGGAATCAGAATAGAGCTGGAAGGGACATTGGAAATCTTTTAGTCCAAGCAGGAAACCTTATACCATTCCGGACAAGTGGCTGTCCAATCTCTTCTTTAAAACCTCCAGTGATGGAGCACGCACAACTTCTGAAGGGCAAGCCGTTCCACTGATTTAATTGTTCTCACTGTCAGGAAATTTCTCCTTAGTTCTAAGTTGCTTCTCAATTAGTTCCCACCCATTGTTTCTTGTCCTGCCTTCTGGTGCTTTGGAGAATAGGTTGACTCCCATCTTCTTTGTGGTAAGTCTTCAAATATCAAATATCAATATTTCTATTGTGTCACCCTTAGTCCTTCTTTTCACTATACTAGACATCACCCAGTCCTTCCAGCCGTACTCAACTTTCCAGTCAAGGAAAGTTTGGTGTCAATAGGACCCCAGCGAGAAAATTCTCTGAAGATCGGCTACAACATATGTCCAAAAGCTTGGAAGACAATCAGATCTGGCCCTGTTTGGAGAATCAGCCAAATATGAGTCAATGCAAGGCAAATGGGACTGTCTCAATTGAGCCAAGCTAAGCTCCTGTCAATTTGATGGAAACATCCAGTTGATGGCCACTATCTTCTAGGATGTTCTTCCCTCCTATCCAATCTGATCCCTAGCCTTAAGACTTTCCTAGTGGTCCCTTATCCAAATCGTAATTAGGTGTGATCTTGCCCAGCTTTTTAAAGAGCAACGTACTCAAAAGTCAGTGAATTATTACAATTTGCCATTTAGACAAGAAGAGAAACGGGACAGAATGTCTATTGCTAAGCAAGGCAGTTGTTAAGTGATAGTACAACCCCCCCCCCTTTTTTTTAACCACGGCTGCTAAGTGAATCATGTAATTGTTAAGTGAATCATGTAATAGTTAAGCAAATCCAGCTTCCCCCACTGACCACTTGTTGGAATGATCTATCTGTCTATCTAATCTATCTCATCTTATCTATCTCATCTCATCTATCTATCTATCTATCATCTATCTATCTATCATCTATCTATCTATCTATCTATCTATCTATCTATCTATCTATATCTATCTCTAATCTATATCTACCTACCTACCTACCTACCTACCAACCAACCAACATCTC